ATGTTACACACATTTCACAAGGAAACTCTGAACGAAATCCTGGCTAGGCTGGTGATGTGAACTGGGTCATACCATGGATAGAGATCTTTCGAGATCACACGACGCTTCTCGGTAAATGTTTTCGTGATAGGAGCAGCGGGTTGTCTAAGGCTTTCAGTTCATGATTCGTAGTGAGTTTGATGCTGATTATGTAGCCTACAGTCGTCCACTAGAAGATTCAAAACAACATTCTGAAGTTCGTAATCAGCAAGTCCATTCTAAAAAAAGTGGTTTACTTACGCGTGAATGCGACAGCGTTCTTTTAATCATGAGAATATGGATGCTTCACGCAATGATTGACATTAACGTCGACTGTATTTTCAGGTTATTGCCAGCAAGAGCCGTGTGACCGGTGCATGTAACTGGCCATAATGCCGCGAAACTCTGGCAGAACCCGAAGTTTCGCTCTAGGGGATATTTAACAAGCCTGAATCCAAAAGTGCCGGTCCTATCAGCGCTATGGACAATATCAATAATGGTGAGTATGATCCGTCAACATGTCATGAACCCTGGGTTTGAAGTCAAGAATGCAGGTTCGTTGCTTGAGCATAGTTCAGAACTAACGACTCTGCTATGTTCTGCAGGTAATGATGAAACTTTATCAACAATGCAGATTGTTGTCCATTATCCACAAGTTTCTGTGGGTCATGTATTGGTGAGTGTTATGTCAATCAAGATTGTAGCTCACTTACAGAGTAACTGTTGTTGCGGGTATCTGTCAGGAATTTACTGAAATCGTTCACATCATCAGTCATACGTACTCTGAAGCAGGGCTTCAGATTCGTTTTGGGCCACCCTTAGTAATCAGAGTTCTAGGTATAGTCAACCCTGATGCGTCAGGGTAAATTTTTTGTTTCGCTGACAAATGCAGGGTAAAAAAACAGTTAGTCTGTTTGGGCAGGGTATTGTTTAAATAATTTGTCTATTGGAAATGCCGAAGAAGTCAAGATCAATGGCAAGTGGTGTCAGAATGTAATTGTATACATTACTATAACTGTCTGTAGTGTAGACCTAGTGTAGTTATATCGCTTTCATGTTAGGTGGTGCACCCTTTTCCTTCACTATATCCTGTACAACTTTCTATAGTGAAACTCTCCATTCTCTCGACACATTTCTCATTTTCAAACTTGCTCGATACTTCCCTCCTACTCAATCTTCTCCTACCTCACTAGCCATGGCTCCTAAGCCTCGCTCAGAACTTTGACATGCTATCAGAGCTACCAAGGTCCTGACTTGTGGGCCCACCCTACAGCTTCCGTTGCCAATCTGTGTTCGGCACGCCCCGTGACGTGCCCCTTGCCCTACGGCCCCGTCGCCTACCTGCGGCCCTACGGCCCCGTCGCCTACCTACGGCCCTACGGCCCCGTTGCCTACCTGCGACCCCGGCCCCGTCGCCTTCCTGTGGCCCCGGCCCCGTCGCCTACCTGCGGCCTCGGCCCCGTCGCCTACCTACGGCTCTACGGCCCCGTCGCCTACCTACGGCTCTACGGCCCCGTCGCCTACCTGCGGCCCTACGGCCCCGTTGCCTACCTGCGGCCCCAGCCCCGTCGCCTTCCTGCGGCCCCGGCCCCATCGCCTACCTGCGGCCCTACGGCCCCGTTGCCTACATGCGGCCCTACAGCCTCATTGCCTACATGCGGCCCCGTCCCCTACCTGCGGCCCCGTCGCCTCACTACGGCCCCGGCCCAGTCGCCCACCTGCGGCCCCGGCCCCGTCGCCTCCTTGCGGCCCCAGCCCCGTCGCCACCTGCGGCCCCGCCCACTTGCGGCCCAGTCGTCACCTGCGGCCCCGTCGCCACATGCGGCCCCGTCGCCCGCTGCGGCCCCGTCGCCATCTGCGGCCCCGCCACCTTCGGCCCCGTCGCCACCTGCGGCCCCGCCTACCCTTGCGGCCCCGTCGTCCACCACGGCCCCGTCGCCACCTGCGGCCCCGCCCACCGTGGCCCCGTCGCTCACTGCGGCCCCGTCGTCACCTGCGGCCCTGCCACCTGCGGCCCTGTCGCCACCTGCGGCCCCGTCGCCCACGTCGGCCCCGATGCCACCTGCGGCCCCGCCCACTTGCGGCCCCGACCCCGCCCCGGCCATGCACTGTCGTCAGCCGCGGCACACCGGGGGCACGTGCACCGCCCCCCCCCCCCCCCCCCCCTTTTCCCGTCACCTGTCGAGGTGACCTGAGGGGGCCGCGCGGGAGGGGCGACCTGGAAGGCGTGGGCAGGCGTCGCCCCCTCTGTCGCCTGCTTTGGCGCCCGGGGAGGCCGTGCGTCGGCCCCCCCCCCCCCTTCCCCCTTCTCCTTCGTCTCCCTGCAGCTGCAGGGGGAGGTTCTGGGGGTGGCGGGTGTGGGGGTGATGGATGTTGCGCTTCCCTTCCCCTCCTCCTCCTTTCGTTCCCACTTCTGCAGCTGCTACTGGGGGGGAGGGTGTGAGAGTGTAGGGGAGCCGGGGGAGTGGCACTGGGGTGGCGGATGTGAGACCAACCAGCAGCCGTCCCTCCACCTCTCCTCTCTTCCCCCCTCTGCTGCTCCTGCAGAAGTGTGTGGGGGAGGGGGAGGGGGAGGGGGAGGGTGAAGGGATGGAGTGGGTGACAAACTAGCTCTATTACCTTGTCTGTTGTTGCTGCTTTCTTTGCACTTGGTGTACCTCTGCAGGAGGTGTACTGCACACGGTTCTTCACTGCAGGCAGTTAGGGGGTGTGTCAGAATGTAATTGTATACATTACTATAACTGCCTGTAGTGTAGACCTAGTGTAGTTATATCACTTTCATGTTTAGTGGTGCACCCTTTTCCTTCACTATATCTTGTATAACTTTCTATAGTGAAACTCTCCATTCCCTCGACACATTTCTCCTTTTCAAACTTGGTCGATACTTCCCTCCTACTCGATCTTCTCCTACCTCACTAGCCATGGCTCCTAAGCCTTGCTAAGAACTTTGACAAGTGGTTTAGCTGGTTTTTGTGCATTAGATCCGTAAGGTCTCAAGTTCGAATCTCGCCAGTGAGATCATTTTGCAGGGACCTGTATAGTGTTTCGTCTCGCTACGGAGCACTCGGTAACAGTATAGCTGGGATTGTACACAGTACAGTCATAGTAATGTGTTCCTTATGCTGTTTTTCAATACCCTTTGAAAAACAGCATAAGGAACACATTACTATGACTGTACTGTGTACAATCCCAGCTATACTGTTACCGAGTGCTCCGTAGCGAGACGAAACACTATACAGGTCCCTGCAAAATGATCTCACTGGCGAGATTCGAACTTGAGACCTTACGGATCTAATGCACAAAAACCAGCTAAACCACTTGTCAAAGTTCTTAGCAAGGCTTAGGAGCCATGGCTAGTGAGGTAGGAGAAGATCGAGTAGGAGGGAAGTATCGACCAAGTTTGAAAAGGAGAAATGTGTCGAGGGAATGGAGAGTTTCACTATAGAAAGTTATACAAGATATAGTGAAGGAAAAGGGTGCACCACTAAACATGAAAGTGATATAACTACACTAGGTCTACACTACAGGCAGTTATAGTAATGTATACAATTACATTCTGACACACCCCCTAACTGCCTGCAGTGAAGAACCGTGTGCAGTACACCTCCTGCAGAGGTACACCAAGTGCAAAGAAAGCAGCAACAACAGACAAGGTAATAGAGCTAGTTTGTCACCCACTCCATCCCTTCACCCTCCCCCTCCCCCTCCCCCTCCCCCACACACTTCTGCAGGAGCAGCAGAGGGGGGAAGAGAGGAGAGGTGGAGGGACGGCTGCTGGTTGGTCTCACATCCGCCACCCCAGTGCCACTCCCCCGGCTCCCCTACACTCTCACACCCTCCCCCCCAGTAGCAGCTGCAGAAGTGGGAACGAAAGGAGGAGGAGGGGAAGGGAAGCGCAACATCCATCACCCCCACACCCGCCACCCCCAGAACCTCCCCCCTGCAGCTGCAGGGAGACGAAGGAGAAGGGGGAAGGGGGGGGGGGGCCGACGCACGGCCTCCCCGGGCGCCAAAGCAGGCGACAGAGGGGGCGACGCCTGCCCACGCCTTCCAGGTCGCCCCTCCCGCGCGGCCCCCTCAGGTCACCTCGACAGGTGACGGGAAAAGGGGGGGGGGGGGGGGGGCGGTGCACGTGCCCCCGGTGTGCCGCGGCTGACGACAGTGCATGGCCGGGGCGGGGTCGGGGCCGCAAGTGGGCGGGGCCGCAGGTGGCATCGGGGCCGACGTGGGCGACGGGGCCGCAGGTGGCGACAGGGCCGCAGGTGGCAGGGCCGCAGGTGACGACGGGGCCGCAGTGAGCGACGGGGCCACGGTGGGCGGGGCCGCAGGTGGCGACGGGGCCGTGGTGGACGACGGGGCCGCAAGGGTAGGCGGGGCCGCAGGTGGCGACGGGGCCGAAGGTGGCGGGGCCGCAGATGGCGACGGGGCCGCAGCGGGCGACGGGGCCGCATGTGGCGACGGGGCCGCAGGTGACGACTGGGCCGCAAGTGGGCGGGGCCGCAGGTGGCGACGGGGCTGGGGCCGCAAGGAGGCGACGGGGCCGGGGCCGCAGGTGGGCGACTGGGCCGGGCCGTAGTGAGGCGACGGGGCCGCAGGTAGGGGACGGGGCCGCATGTAGGCAATGAGGCTGTAGGGCCGCATGTAGGCAACGGGGCCGTAGGGCCGCAGGTAGGCGATGGGGCCGGGGCCGCAGGAAGGCGACGGGGCTGGGGCCGCAGGTAGGCAACGGGGCCGTAGGGCCGCAGGTAGGCGACGGGCCGTAGAGCCGTAGGTAGGCGACGGGGCCGTAGAGCCGTAGGTAGGCGACGGGGCCGAGGCCGCAGGTAGGCGACGGGGCCGGGGCCACAGGAAGGCGACGGGGCCGGGGTCGCAGGTAGGCAACGGGGCCGTAGGGCCGTAGGTAGGCGACGGGGCCGTAGGGCCGCAGGTAGGCGACGGGGCCGTAGGGCAAGGGGCACGTCACGGGGCGTGCCGAACACAGATTGGCAACGGAAGCTGTAGGGTGGGCCCACAAGTCAGGACCTTGGTAGCTCTGATAGCATGTCAAAGTTCTGAGCGAGGCTTAGGAGCCATGGCTAGTGAGGTAGGAGAAGATTGAGTAGGAGGGAAGTATCGAGCAAGTTTGAAAATGAGAAATGTGTCGAGAGAATGGAGAGTTTCACTATAGAAAGTTGTACAGGATATAGTGAAGGAAAAGGGTGCACCACCTAACATGAAAGCGATATAACTACACTAGGTCTACACTACAGACAGTTATAGTAATGTATACAATTACATTCTGACACCACTTGCCATTGATCTTGACTTCTTCGGCATTTCCAATAGACAAATTATTTAAACAATACCCTGCCCAAACAGACTAACTGTTTTTTTACCCTGCATTTGTCAGCGAAACAAAAAATTTACCCTGACGCATCAGGGTTGACTATACCTAGAACTCTGATTACTAAGGGTGGCCCAAAACGAATCTGAAGCCCTGCTTCAGAGTACGTATGACTGATGATGTGAACGATTTCAGTAAATTCCTGACAGATACCCGCAACAACAGTTACTCTGTAAGTGAGCTACAATCTTGATTGACATAACACTCACCAATACATGACCCACAGAAACTTGTGGATAATGGACAACAATCTGCATTGTTGATAAAGTTTCATCATTACCTGCAGAACATAGCAGAGTCGTTAGTTCTGAACTATGCTCAAGCAACGAACCTGCATTCTTGACTTCAAACCCAGGGTTCATGACATGTTGACGGATCATACTCACCATTATTGATATTGTCCATAGCGCTGATAGGACCGGCACTTTTGGATTCAGGCTTGTTAAATATCCCCTAGAGCGAAACTTCGGGTTCTGCCAGAGTTTCGCGGCATTATGGCCAGTTACATGCACCGGTCACACGGCTCTTGCTGGCAATAACCTGAAAATACAGTCGACGTTAATGTCAATCATTGCGTGAAGCATCCATATTCTCATGATTAAAAGAACGCTGTCGCATTCACGCGTAAGTAAACCACTTTTTTTAGAATGGACTTGCTGATTACGAACTTCAGAATGTTGTTTTGAATCTTCTAGTGGACGACTGTAGGCTACATAATCAGCATCAAACTCACTACGAATCATGAACTGAAAGCCTTAGACAACCCGCTGCTCCTATCACGAAAACATTTACCGAGAAGCGTCGTGTGATCTCGAAAGATCTCTATCCATGGTATGACCCAGTTCACATCACCAGCCTAGCCAGGATTTCGTTCAGAGTTTCCTTGTGAAATGTGTGTAACA